TTATATGAGTGGAAAACCTCATTCCTTTCATGAGTCTGTATGTTTCCTTAAGATGTAGGAGAAAAATTACTTAGAGAGCTAATATAATATACACTACAAACTTCTAAAAAGTTTGCCATTTTTGATATTTTTTTGTAGTCACTCAAAATATCAGATGTATTTGCAAGATTACACCTTTACTTCCACTTTCATCTTTAATGATATTATATGTTATTTTCTTTATCAATTGTGAACAGACCTCATATTAAGGAAAAGATCATATTAAGAGTATGGGAGATATTGCTAGGAGAACATCACTAGGACTTTTTACCCACTAGTACAAGAGATAAATCTGGGTAAAAAATCCAGAGTAAATAAAACCAGACCCAGTATATTTTTTTAAAACTTCCAGTCTTTAAAAGAAAAATCAACTGAGAAGATAGAAGGTACTCAAAGGAAACAAAATAAAAGCCTTCTTGCCAGATGACTTGGGCCCATGCAGTGAGTTGCTTTAGGAAAGATATTTGAGAATGATAAATAAGCTAAGAATTGTTGACCCAACAGATAATTTACTAGCTATTAAAAAATCTACTGACTAGGATAAATTGAGGATGGCTAGAATAAGGTGAGGAAAAGGAAGTGATATAATCTCAAATAATCCAAATTGGTCTTGAAAATTGATAAAGTTAATTGAAACACATTTTCTTTTACATCAGAGGTAGAAAAGTGAGTCTCCTGGTTTCACCTCATAAATACAGAGACCAGGAAAGAGTGTCACATCCATACCCTTATAATAACAAAATTCTGGATAAAATACATATTATAACTTTTCTTGAACTGATTAATGAATGAAGGTTATTGGGAAAATGGATAACTGGAAAGCCAGAGAAGGGCTTCCGTAGGGAGAAACACAATTTGAACATTCACTCACTTGGGGGCAGAAGCCACTTGGTGCCATGTCAGTTAATAAAACAATTCAGCTAGAAGTTTTTAATGAGTTATTTGCTGGCCTGAGTAAGCAAAGCCCCAGGAGGCTTCAGACAGATGGGTGTTGACACTGCTTACAGGTGATTCCTGTGTGGGCCCCACCAGGCACCCTCAGGGAAGATTAGAGAGAATTTTGAGAGAGCGCTGCTGGTGCTGGCTTTGGGGGGAAGAACAGCAACTACTGCTCAGATTCTGCTCAGTCTCCCCCTCCTCCTCTACATAATGAAAGAAAGCCTTTGTCTCCTGTGGGGAAGGGTGCCAAAAACTAGTTGGAGGGTACTGGTGGAAAGTCCTGCAGCTTGGATGGAAAGCAAGCAAGGAAAGTTCCACTCCTGGGAGAGGGGGAGGACCTGTTTAAGACTCCCTCTTCCACATCCCCTCCCTACGGTAACGGTATCTAGTAAAAATGAGAGTGAAATAGAGTTGGCAGAGCTGAAAGAGACAGAGTACTTCTCAGGAACATGACAGAAGGAAGAACCAAATCCATATAGGGAGTAGACCCTAAATACAAGGTTTCCCTAGAGGCAAGTGAAATCCTTGGTCCATTGAGTAAAACCACAGCAGCACCAAACTTCAAACTCAGCCCAACTCCTGATATGGACTGTGGAGTACAGGCCTAGCAGAAGAAAGGATGCACTCATCTCCAAGTACAAAAAATATTTGCCCCAGTATTGATTGTCCTGTACCACATTTTTGGCTCTCAACAAAAAATTATGAGACATAAAAGGCAATAAAATACATGGTCTGGGTAGACAAAGCAATCATCAGAACCAAGCTCAGATTTAGACAAAATTATTAAATAAATGAAGATTATTTCTATTAAAGCATCATTGATATACAATTTTATGAAGGCTTCACATGAACAACATTGTGATTTCAACATTCACCCATATTATCAAGTCCTCACCCTCACCAATGCAGTAACTCTCCATCTGCATAGCAAGATGCTATAGTCATTACTTGTCTTCTCTGTGCTATACTGCCTTCCCCATGACCTACCTATATTGTATATGCTAACATAATGTCCCTTAATCCCGTTCTCCCTCCCTCCCACCCACAGTCTCCACCCCTTCTCCATTGGTAACTGCTAGTCCCTTCTGGGAGTCTGGGAGTCTGCTGCTGTTTCGTTCCTTCAATTTTGCTTCGTTGTTATACTCCACAAACGAGTGAAATCATTCGGTACTTGTCTTTTCTCTGCCTGGCTTATTTCACTGAGTATAATACCCTTTAGCTCCATCCATGATGTTGCAAATGGTAGGATTTGTTTTCTTTTTATGGCTGAATAATATTCCATTGTGTATATGTACCACAGCTTCTTTATCCATTCATCTACTGATGGACACTTAGGTTGCTTCCATATTTGAACTATTGTAAACAGTGCTGTAATAAACATAGAGATGTACATGTCTTTTTGAATCAAGGATCTTGTTTTCTTTGGGTAAATTCTTAGGAGTGGAATTCCTGGATCAAAGGTATTTCCATTTTTAGTTTTTTGAGGAACCTCCATATTGCTTTGCACAACAGCTGAACTAATTTACATTCCCACCAACATTGTAGGAGGGATCCCCTTTTTCTGCATCCTCACCAGCATTTGTTGTTTGTTGTCTGTTGGATATTGGTCATCCAAACAGGTGTGAGGTTATATTTCATTGTGGTTTTAACCTGTATTTCCCTGATGATTAGCAACATGGAGCATCTTTTCATGTGCCTGTTGGTCATTCAAATTTCTTCTTTGGAGAAATGTGTGTCAGATCCTCTGCCCATTTTTTAATTGGGTTATTTGCATTTTGGGTGTTGAGTGTGAGTTCTTTATTTATTTTGGATATGAACTCCTTATAGGATAAGTCATTTACAAACATATTCTACCATATTGTAGGATGTCTTTTTGTTCTACTGATGGTGTCATTTGCTGCACAAAAGCTCTTTAGTTTGATGTAGTCCCATTTTTTCATTTTTTATTTTGTTCCTCTTATCTGAGGAGATATGTTCAGGAAAAAGTTGCTCATGTTTATATTCAATAGATTTTTGCCTATGTTTTCTTCTATGAATTTATGGTTCATGACTTACATTCAGGTCTTGGTTCTATTCTGAGTTTACTATTGTGTATGGAGTTAGACAATAATCCAGTTTCATTCTCTTACATGCAGATGTCCAATTTTGCCAACACTATTTGTTGAAGAAGCTCTCTTTTCCCACTGTATATCTATGGCTCCTTTATCATGTATTAATTGGCCATATATGTGTGGGTTTATATCTGGGCTCGCTATCCTGTTCCATTGATCTATGGGTCTGTTCCTGTATTAGCACCAAATTGTTTTGATTACCATGGCTTTGTAGTAGAGCTTGAAGTTAGGGAGTGTAATCCCTCCAGTTTTGTTCTTCCTTCTCAGGATTTCTTTGGCTATACAGTCTTTTGTGGTTCGGTATAAATTTTAGACCTGTTTGTTCTAGTTCACTGAAGAATGCTGTTGGTATTTTGATAGGGATTGCACTGAATCTGTAGATTGCTTTAGGCAGGATGGCCATTTTGACAATATTAATTCTTCCTATCCATGAGCATGGGATGAATAAATGAAGACTTTAATAAAAAAATGAGTGTGACTCAAAGGACCATTTTTGTAGAAGGTTTAAATGTATAGAATCAGTATTGGTAAGACAGTCTTCAACAAAATGATGACTAGACAAAAGATATTTGGTGTTTATAATCTTACTTTCCTGTGACCTTTCTTCTTCTCTCTGAATATCTTCATGTTCTCTATTCCACTATCCAAAACCTGACTCTTAAAGAAGTTTGGAATCTCACTCACACTGTGAAGTCACTGTTAATATAGTATCTCCTCTAATTTAAATGTAGACCAAGTCTTATTCAAAGGGATAAAGTTCTAATGATGGAACTTGCAGCAACATCAAGCTTAACAATGGGGATTGGTTGGGAGTGAGAGGTGTGTCTTTGGCTTAGTGGTCTGATACGCTCTATGGTGTTGCTGAAATCATACCACTTGTACAATCGTTTTCTCATCATATTGGTTAATGGTTTCCAGATGTTGGAATGTAGAAGACACATAAGAGAATAGTGACAATGGCCACTAACAAATTTGTTATGATTAATTCTCAATAATTGTGTTTTGGTAAAATCTCCAGAAGTACATATGTTGAAATTGAAAAAAAGAGATTAGTATGGTGGTCTCTGTGAATGAGACATGAGCATTTTTTAATTCAGTTATAATATTTATTCTATGTATATTATCATATATTTACATGCTTATTTCTCTATTTCTTTTGTGAGCTTCCAAAGGGCATTCTGCTTCATAAATGTTTTTACCTCCTGTTTTAAGCATGGAAATGACAGTCAAAAGGTGCTTTTTCAACACATTTAAACTGATTTTTTGTTTTGAAATATTAAAGAAAATCTTCAAAACATCTGAAGCTATCAATTTCTACCCAATGACATGAATGCAGCTACTTTTATTTTTGCATGTTGTTTTCAGTTCTTATTTATAATATTCATATTTCATATGATGGGCATTTTTGGAGATCATTCATTCAAATATAATTGATAAAGCAATTGTTATGTGTCAGGCAACAAGATAGCTGCTGGGAATAAAATAGGTAAAATGAGTTCAATTCCAACTAGGGGGGAGATTAGACAGTTAAATAAGCATAAGTAAATGTAAAATTACCATGCTATGTTGCTATAAATATAATTGGAAGGTTTTTAAGTAGCGAAGAAGTCAGAGTCTCTGAAGAATAATGATTGAGCTTAGTTCTGAGTGCTGGGAAGCAGTTAAATAACCAGAGAAAAGAGCATTTCAGGGGAGGAAACATGGCCAAAAGCCCCTTTGCACGAAAGTGGGTGAGGTTGTGAAGACAATGTGCAAATATACGTTAGTTTGTAGACTCCAGTGTTTCTTCATGGAAGGAAGGCATTCCTTCACTAACTCTCTGACTACTATTTCTTTTCCAGATTTGATTTCTTCCCCAAAATATCAGATTTCTTAGGTTGATGCTTTCGTCTGTTCTCTAAATCACCTAACTTTTTTTTACAGTTTTCTTCTTTATCTTTTTCTTCTCCATTTGCACAGATTTCAAATGAAACTTCCTCATTGTTTTTTTTTTTGGCCACAGTTTTCATTTAAACGTATCCAATGCATATTTTAATTACATTCCTGCATTATTTTGTTACCTTGCAAACTTTCCTTATCTTATTGTTATCACTATGTAATTTTTCCCCTTTCTTCTCTAGGATTTTTGTTCCTGTTTAATAAATGGCATTGAATTCAGGATTAATATTTATTCTGGATTCTTGCACTCTGAAGTAGATCGTATAAAATGAGGTAGATGCTATAATGTTCCTTTCCTTCACTGAACATATTACATTTAAAAACACAAATTTATTCTTTTAATTTTTATGATTTTATAACATTTTATAATTTAATTTCGTTATTGTTCTTCCCTTTAAAGTATAAAGTTCCATGAGGCAGTGTCCTTGTTTTTGTTTACTATTCTGTTTAATTTGCCTGAAAGATACTTGATGCTCAATAATTGGTGAATAAATAAGTATTCAAGATATTGCCTTCATTTTTTTTGTAGTGTTTCAATGAATAGCTCCATGATTTTCTTTTTTTTAATGAGAAAGGATCCAATAACACTTATTATGTAGTAATCTAGCATGTGTGTATTTTTTCCAAATTTCTGTTTGTGTGATTAATGAATCTTTCTCAGATCTACAGACTGAGAATATGTTAATATGTTTAACTTCCAGGCCAGTTTCCAGATTCTAGCAAGCATTCACATTGGGTGACTTTGCTGTACTCAGGAAAATCTTCTATCCTGCAGCTTGTTTTTCTGTAGCTCTTTATCAAGGGTTCCATACGGATTTTTTTCAAAAGGAGATATACAGGCTGCCTCAAAAATGTTTTGTCAGAATCTCTGGTATGGAAGCATGATTGATTTCTTTTTTAAAAAGTATTTCACAGGTGACACTGATGCAAAATATTTTCTTCTAACCTATTGAGAATAAAAACTCCAATTTCTAGCATTCATTATACTAAAGTTGCTGTCACTAGCAAATACAATACTTAAACATTTGTTCTTATTCACTCTTCTTGCCCTACTCGTGTGGTTGTGAGAGCTGTCTCTGTATTCCAAAAACAAATACACGAACACAGAATAAAACCACGCAATTGAGATAAAGCTGGTGAATGATCTAGTTGGACTCTGCTTCCTCCAGAGAGCAAACAGACACGTATTTCAAAAGGGCTTTTCTTTCTCAAGTTAACATCTCTCAAGTTTTCTTTCTCAAGTTAACATCTCTCAAGTTTTTCTTAATCCATTTCCATGGATCTGTAAGGCACTTAACAAATTTTGTAGTATGTTGTCTGACAACCATAGCTTGCAAAATTTTCAATTATCTCTATGTCTTTGGCAGTATTTTAATGGGAGGTTGGAAAAAGATACATCAGGGGTTGCTATTGAAAAACAATTTCAAATGATAAGTTAATAAGATCTGTGAAATATTCAACTTAATACAGGAATGACTGATGTCAGGATGGTGCAAATCACAGATTTCAGGCATGCGGCAACATGGTTCCAACTGGTTAAAACAAAATGTATTAGGTTTTTCTCCTTATTCAGGCTATTCATTTGTCTCCTTCTTTTTCATCTCTATTTATTTTCTAGACACTGGTTTACTGAGTTACAATTACCTAGGCAAATACTTTTTCTTCTTTTACAGACTAACCACACCTCTCATTTTATGTTTGTATGGTTCATATATTTAATCTTCACCACAACCACATAGCCAGACTCTAATAATGAGTGGTACTTCCATTTCTTTTCATTTATAGTTTGTCTCATTACTATAAAGTCATAGGTGAATTCATTGCTCCATCATAAGTAAAGAGTACAAGAATTGTCAGTGAAAAGACCAGGAACTGCTCAAAAATAATTCTGCTGAATTAATACAATGCTGGTTGGAAATAGGGCAACAGAGAGTATTTTTTCCTCCCCTTAAATATACGTTTCCTTATCTTCTTTGACAGAGGGTAAAAAACATTCATCCTTATTTGTGGATTCTAAGTTTGTTTCTTTCATGGTCTTTTTTCCATTTTCTGATGTCTTGTTTTCTTTTCCTTGATACTTTTTCTTCATAACATAAATAAATATAATATATAAAATAACTGCTGAGGCTTTTAAACCCACAGATAAGCCCAGGAAGGTAAATCTGTGAAAAGAGAAGAAAAGTCAGTTTTCCTTTTAACTCGTGTGGAACAATTTACAGCATCGCTCCTCAGTATGCAGAAGACCTTAGATGAGAAATTAGACATAAAACTATGACGGCAGCAATACTAGCGATTCTTTTCATTGGAGCACAAGGAGTTTTTGATTATTTTAAAAGGAATAGTAAGCCACAGAAATTAATAATTTGAGGGTCATGATCAGTCTACCCAAGTGCTGCCAGTAAGCTATAGTAAGAATGTTTAGATTTCTCAAAGACAGGTTAGTTAGGTCCTGTGAAATGGGAATCCAATATAAAGGACATGTCTAACTGAGATAATCATATTGGATCCCTTTAGATTGAACCAGGAGCTAATGTTTAGTTTATAGGCCAGATGAAGTCTGCAAGGTCCTGCCATGTGGCCTACTGGAAGATTTTAAGGAAACCACATAAAATGACCAAGCACACATGATCTATTCCTGTGGCTCTCCACTTTGGTTGCACATTAGAATCACCCAAGGATATTTTAAAACTCCCAAGCCCATGCCACAGCCCCTGACCAATTAAATCTAAGTCTCTGAAGATGGGACACAGACACGAATATTTTTTAAAACTCCTTGATTATCATGATCAGAGAATGTGGCTGACCACTGACCTGGTAGGCTGGGAGACACTCACTGGCCTCATAACATTGTCAGCTAAATGTTGAGGAGCTTTATGCAAAAAATACTTTGAACAATTATTTGGTTTAACTAAAGGTGAATGGAATGAATTATATCATTTTGAGCTGTTTAAGTTCGAGTTCATTAAAACTGCAATAGTGTGTCGCGGTATACCAATGATGATGGAAGAAATGTTTTTAAAGTCTTCGAATACATTTGCCTCATACTTAGGTTCTCTGTTAAGTAGTTATACACCAATGTTAAATTTTCCAAAATATCTACTGTTATCAAGAAGAGTTAATATGGCTTTCTGGTTATGTGACTGTTGAGAAAACTTGAATAAATTAGATTTAGATTTAGGATTGATATCATGATATAGATTTTTATTCCTTGGACTAGGAATTATTGATTTTATTGGGCTATAATATCATGATATAGATTTTTATTCCTTGGACTAGGAATTATTGATTTTATTGGGCTATAATATCATGATATAGATTTTTATTCCTTGGACTAGGAATTATTGATTTTATTGGGCTAGATGAAATCAATGAACAATTACTTGGTTATCTCAAAATACTAAACCAAAAACTCATGGAGTGGCCAACTTTTTGTTTACTCATTTGTGAATTCACGACTCTTTTTAAAAATTCCCTTTTAGACAATCTTTGGGCAATTATTTTGCAGAGCACATTAGACAATGAACACTACTGACTAAAAGGAAAGTGATAAGGACCATGAGTGAGTTCCAAAGTGCTAAGAGTTTAAAAAGGGGGTCAGTTAGTTCCAGCTGGAATGGTGCAAACTTTACGGAAGAAGATAGCGTAGGTGGAATCACACAGCTTTTTCAGACTGCCTTCTGAGCAGTGTGTTTTTAAGTTCTCACCTTGTCTTTTGGTGACTTGATAGCTCATTTCTTTTTGTTGTTGAATAATATTTGGTTGTATGAATGTACCACAATTTACTTATCCATTCACCTTTGAAGGATATCTTGGTTGCTTCCATTTGGGGCAATTATGAATAAATCTGCTATAAACATTCATGTGTAGGTTTTTATATGGACATTAGGCTTCCAATTCATTTGGATAAATACTTCAGAGCACAATTGCTTGATCAAACAGTAAACCTACATTTAACTTTGAAAGAGACTGTCTTCCAAAGAGAGGGTACTATTTTGAATCTCCACCAGCAATGAAAGAAAGTTCATGTTGTTTCACCTGCTTGTCAGCACTTGGTGTTTAGTTTTGTTTTTTAAAGAGCTTTTTATATATTTAGGACATTTGCCTGTGTCTGTGTTACAAGGCACAAATTCTTTTTCCAATTTAACTTCTGCCTTCAAAATTTGTTTATGCCGAACTTTGTGATGCAGAGTTTTAAAAATATTTCATTTTTTTTCTACTGTGGTTTTAGGCATTTGGGTCATACTTAGAAACACATTCCTGCTTCCTAGGTAATTAGAAGAACTGCTGCCACAATTTCTTATAATACTTGTAGTTTTATATTTTAAATTTATATATTTAAACTGCAATTGATTTTTTATTTAAGGTCAAGGTATTATTAGCAACTATTTTTTTCTAAATGGCCATCCAATTGTTTCCCTATGAACAGAAGAGTATAGAAACATTTTTTCCTTCTTTTTCCTATGACCAGACCTATGACCTATGACCAGAGCTGCGGTTGGTCATTCTGTATCTTCCTAAAGAAGTTAGAGGTCATTGAATACACAGATTTTGTTTTGTTTTAGTATTAGAAAAGCTTTGGGAAGCAAATTCCAAATCTATTATTATTAGCTATATGATTTTGAACAAGTTACTCTTTGAATCTTCTTTTCTTCATAGTTAAGGAAAAAGGAGAAAAATCCATCTTCTATAGTTTCTATGAGTTTTAAAATGAGATACCAGATTGCCTGATACAGCACTGAATACAAAGTTCATTAAGTGGTGGCTATAATTATTAATATTGTTACTATACTGAAAATGACATATCATCTTTTAGGAATAAATACAGTCAAAAGAAAAATCAATTAATAAATTGTATTTATGACAACTTACCCATATAATGTGGAATTATATATCCTACACGACCCTTGCTTCCCAGAGCTGGTGATGGACCACTTTATACATGCTCTATCAATCAGAGCTCCAAAATATATAGGAGCCAGAATTCCTCCTGCAAAATGAGACGTGAAGCTGTCAATCCAACGAACATGTTTCAAATGTAACTGGGTGACATTTCACATTGATACATTTTGGATTATGTAAAAATTGAACATTTTGGAGGACTCTCCCATTATTTTGGCTTAAATCTACTCAAGAACCAAGTTTGTTAGGAATCTCAAAAGGCTCAAGCCATGTAAAACAGCATAGACATCTTTTATCTATCTCACTTTGCCAACATACATAGGGAAGAAAGGACATTGTACACTCTATTCTTCTTATAATGCCAGTTAACTTAAACCTGACTGGTAAGAAGGAGAATGCTGTCAGTAAAACATAGGAATTATGTTGGTTCATACATAATTCTTCTTAGACAAGGAGAGCTGAAAGAGTGGGAATAGAATTATAACTTCACAGGGAAAGAAAAAGCTCGCAGCTCAGCTGCTGCAAAGGCAGGAGATTATTCAGCTCTATTTTTAAGAAAGTTAAAAGGTGAGACCAATGTTAGGACTTCTTCTCCAGCTTCACGTAATGCTGACTTCCAGCAGGTTGTCCTTTTTTGGCTCAGAGCTCCACTTCCCCCTTCTTGGTGTCGTTGGAGCCCATAATCCTGCATTTTCTTCCCATTGATTTGTATGCCTTTTTACCATCTCTTGAAGCAGCCTGGGCTGTCCACATTAGGGCCTGTGGTGTTGAATTTTTTGTGAATATTCTGATGACAGTGATGCCAAGCTCCCCGGTGGTCTGTGCTTAACCCGATTTTTATTTGTAGTGTATGATTTTGCAGAACATAAGGCTTTTTAGGAACACATTTGTTGTCTTAAAGCAGAAGTGCCCATTTGCTCTTATCAGTATTTCCACAAATCTGAGACTGGCTCCTAGTTCTAAGCATTGGAGATTTGACCAGAATTTTAGGGACATGCTAGTAGAGATCTATCTTTCATATGGCAGAACTGAAGTATTCATGATTTTACTTTATTCTTTTTTGTATTTTGACAAAAGGTTTTCAAATTTAATTTTGTTATATAAAAAATGGTAGTGATTCATATCTCACAATCTTACTGATTTCATTTACATTTTAATCAGTTTCACTTTTCTGAGAGTGAGAAATCTTAGAATGACAAGGGACTGGTGTCTGAGGCCAATAGATCTGATGAACACTGGTACTGAGGAAATGGGTGAGAAGTTATAGATTTCTACAAATCATAGCCACCCTTTGAAAATTAAAGATATATGCCAATAATTTATTTTCCTTATAGAATGCCACTGGTTTGATCAAACTTAATGAATTAAATATAGGTCGTAAACTTGGTCTTCTTTCATTACTGGAATTTTAAAACTTCTAATAACCTATTTTCCAAATACCATTTTCCATAATTTACACATATATTATATTCAAGACAATTGTTTGTGAATTAGAAGTTTGGCATTCTGTATGCGTTTTGCCCATAGAAGAGTTAGGTTTCATTGTGCCATATATTGGACATATCAAAACAAGAGGTTCACAATTAAGATGGCAAAATTCCTTTTTTTCCCTATTTTATGTTGCTAGAAGAATTCCCTTTATTCTCAGTCTCAGGAATACTAACTCCCCAGATTCCATTTCCATCTGCTGACTTGTGGCCTAGGTTCTAGGAGAGAGGCATCCCCATTGCATCTGGTGATAGGAACTCTCAAGATGGACAGAGCGGTGAGACTAGGGAAGCACAAAGAATGCTGAGAAGTGAACTGTAATGGAAACCCCACCTTCTCCTTCTCACCCACGCCCTTTGTATTGCCTCTTTTGACCTTTGAGGATCCATGGCCTTCTCTCCAAATATGCTTCTTGGACAACTTCCCCATTGAAATTTGGCCTTAGACTTATGCTTTCTTTCTTTTATTTGCAAGGGCCCCAGGGATTAACCCCTCCTACATCCTTTCCCTTCCGCCATCAGTGGCTGCCATCATGATCCATCTTCTGCCTTAAACCCTGGATGAATGATGCCTGTTTCCTACTTTCCAGGAACAAGCAAATGCTATGAATAGGTCTTACCAAAGGGTATACACAGGAGTTAGGTTAGAAGGTGTTAAGCTAACAAGAATCTGTGTGATACAAATGGCACATGGCAACAAAAGACAAAGGATGATTGCCTAAATCTGTACTAATTTCATTTGAATATTTAGAAATAGGACCTCTGGGCTTGACAGCCCTACTGGGGTAAGCTTTCCCAGCTTCAGAGAACGAGGCAGTGGGAAGCAGGGAAGTGAAAGTCTCCCTTTGTTCTGTACAGTCTCAGCCCGAGCAGATTCCCAGGTTCCCAAGCTGTTATCTACCTCTGCCTGTGAAAAGAAATATTCCTAAATCTGAAAGAAGAATAACTTTGGAGACTACCCATCTTTGTGTTAGAAAAGCATAAAACAAATATGGTTGATAAAGGTTAACTTCAACTAGAATTAACTATCAAGTTCTCTTTTAGGTCATTTGGCTTCCTTGTCTGTTTTCATTTTACTGCAAAGATAGAAATGGTTTTTACTTATATCTTTTTTTCCGCTACTTATAATTGGAAATTAATTACATTCAATTTTTGAGGTTCGACATGAGCTTCTATATCTTGAATTTATAATCTACGTATTTATCATACCTAGTGCTCGTATAGTTAGTGAATGGAAACCCACCGCAAGTGATTTTAGCTCAGGTTGAACATTTCTGAAATAAGATAAAGGCAAAGAAACATTAAACATCTCTAAAATACCAAGCTGAGTTCAATATTAAAACATTTCCCAGTGTGTTAGTCTTCATGATCAAACGAAAACCCTCAAGTGAGTAACTGACATAAATGTTAGGTTATGCTTTCAGTTGTTTAAAAGCAAACACCTGTATAATAATAATAATTATTGTTCCTTTATTTATTCAATGCATTATGATTGACATTGTTTGTGAATCAGATGGTTTAATAAACATTTTCACATTTGATCTTTATGAAACCCTATTAGATGGTAGTTGGAGAAGACCTTATTATGCCTATGAAGAAACTGATGTCATGGGTCCTATTCAGTTGACACAGGCTTTATGATAGAACAGAGATTTGTATCTAGGTCTTGGCCTGAGCAGAACTCTTTACTATCTTATTTCTGTCATTGCTCTTAACAGAAAAGCTAACTAATGTGGTTCATAAACTACAAATACTTTTGACCAGAAGAGTCAAAAAAGTTATCTTTATTCTAGTGTCTAAGTGTATTTAAATGTGACTTAAATGGTAGCTAGCAAATTTGTATCTTCTCTTAGAAATTGACTCACTCTTGCATTTACTGAGTTGTATCCACAATTTCTTTTTTCTGTGTTCACTGAGCTGTTGGCACTATCATCCCATGATAACCTGGTGCATATCAAGTGAAATGAGTTATCCAGCAGCAGAGGCAGGGTGGGAATGACTGAGGCTCAAAACCCTCACTTTCACTGAAATATGGAATTAACTGATACATTAAGGGCCTTTTTTTTTTCTTTTGAGCCTTTGAATGACTATTTGTTCATAGAGATAAGTAAATTTAATCATTGAACAAACATTGGCTAAGTGCCTCCTAGGAGATTCCAAACTAGCTCTTGTTCTTAGGAAGAAAGAGATAAAGCACATTTCATATCGACTAAGTGACTTAGAGAAGTCATTTCACCCCTCTTAGCCTCAGGTTCCTTCTCTCTGGACCCCAGGGCCCTTACCCCCATGTGGGTTAGTACATCTTTTGATCACAATCAGTCTCGTACTCCTTTTACAGAACTCAAACCCTTCCGTTGCATCCCCTGGAACTCACTGTCAGTTACCAGGAAAATCCTCATATTCTACCTTCTTAAAAATCCCTTCACTTTCTTGTTCTAACCATGCTTCCCCTGAAAGCTGTTTTTCCATTTAACTCTCAAGGCACACGGTAATGTTGATCTTAGCCACTTGCTTAATAACATAAAACATAGATGTCATCAATGATGGGGCAATGATTTCTAAAACCCTCTTTTTCTTCATGGAAGCTTTTAAATCAAGTGAAGACTTGAGATGCAAGCTAATATGGAGGTTTAAGATAATTTCTTATAAGTTAATAAATCTGTAATTTGGTTAACATAGAAGACAATACTTTATATTTAAAGGTGGAGCAGTATCTGTGGAATAAGTTACTATAAATAGTTTGACATGATTTGGGGTCAGAGCAGACTATAACCTATTGTCCACTCAGTTTACAGGTCTATACTCATTTTAATAAAAGTTAATACATTTACTTTCTTTCCCTTCCATGTCATGCTGTGGGCAAGTACCTAGATATCAGAAGAATAATTAGATGTTAATCCAGGATACCATACTTACACATGTATATTTTTAAGACTTACATGCAAGTATTTGTATGTTTTCAGTTTTACATAACTGAATGAATGATTAACTTCACCAATAGGGCTTATAGTATCTGCTCCCTTACAACCTTATTTTATGCCGTATCTCTTTCAGTATGTTTCTCTTTCAGTATGTTCATACCAACAGACTTCATTTTACCTCACACAGAAGAGCTCTTCCCTGCCTTGAGGTATTGGCATCTGGAACCTTTCCTTGTAAAGTTCTTCATTTGTCTAACTTATTCCCTAGACCTTTAGAGTAAATGTCACCTTTTTTTGAGTAGTATTCTCTGAGTTCTCTTCTTCACAGTTTCAAACCTCAATCCTAAATTAGGTTCCCTTTTTAGTCCCTTTAATGTCATTTTTTCCCCTTATTAGCTCTAATGCCAATTTTTAATTATATGTTTATTTTTAAACTGATTTGTCTGATGTCAGTTTTTCCTGTCATATCCTAGACTGTATGAAAACAGGTACATTATCTGTTTTATTCATCATGGAACATTCTTCATCAAGCTATCTAAATATTTGTCTAATGAGTGAAAAAAGGAATGAACTCTGTTCATATATTATTTTCTTGGCTATAAGAGTATTTGAGAAACTTGGTCAAAAGCCATTTGGAGAGTAGATTAAAAGATTGGACTATCATAGACTGTTTGTATTTACAGTCTAGCTCCCAAATGTTTCTTTCAATGAAATCAGTAGGTGATTTACTCTAACAGTGTAAGAATAAAGGATGTAAGGCATATCAAAATTAGAGGTTCTTTTATGATTGAGGCAATTGTCCATCAGTCTGGATCTTAAAAATCTCAGTAAGAAGAGCAAATATGGAATATAGATTTTGTAATGGAAGAATTAGAAGCAAATTGTTATTAATTATGGCATTGGAATATCCACAATAATCCTAAGAAAATGCTTTCTTAGAAAATCAAAATGTAACAAAATATGAATTTGGGTTCCAAGTTTACTGTGGAAAATATGTACATTGTAAGGTGTCTTTATAGTATAATATACATAAAAGTGCTTTAAAAAAAAGTTATACTCACTTAAAAACCAGCATGATATTTGAGGTACCTCCCAATGAAGAGGAAAAAAGAGACAAGATTTGTACCACTAAATAAATATAAAATTTTCTTGCACACTGATCATCCCTTGGACATTCACCCAAATTTGCTGAGTTACTTGTGTTTTGGAAACTGGTTGCTTCCACACAACTACAGTTATAAAACACCTAAAAGATAATTTTTGAGATATTACAGAATATATTTGCAGAATACGACTGGGCTATAAATACATTCCATTATATTTAAAGACATCTCATTCACATATGCTAAAATATTTACAGTTTTTAAAGAGCACATTCTAAAAACACAGTAGCTTAATAGTTGAAGGAAAAAATAGTTTTCTGGAATCCTTTTGGACAAGAAATGCAATTCTCTATTAACATTTAGATCATCCTTAATTCAGAGATTAGGAAAGAAGAGAAGCAATTAATATCTGAAACTGTATATAATTTTCTCATGATTTTAAATTCTTTTACGTCTTTCTCTTCCACTCACTTTTGCTTTCTGTAACACACCTACTGATTCTCTTTAACAATCTCTAAGAGTCCGGGACAATCCCTGGGGAGGGACTATCCAGGCAATTCAGAAAATATAGTAGCTTGGGAGGGACCAAATCAGGAACTAGACTGGGGCTGGGTCCAGGGAAACGGAGTCAGGGAGGGAATGCTGGAATTCTAATTTGGCCGCAAACCCAACTTCCACAGCATAATGGGAAGATGACAAGATAGATGATGTTATTTCCAGAGAGGGTCAACACAAGACTACTCTAGTGGTCAGAACACAGGGGGCAAAATTTAGCAATAAATGATTTTAGAGATTTCATTTGGCAGGCATTTTATTTTAATAAATTCTGCTCTGAGTCTAGAGTAAACAAAGATTTAAGGGAAGTTGGAACTTATTAGTGCTAAATATTAAATACTGAAGGAGGAACTGAGGAAGAATCTGGATCTATACTATCTGAGAGCCAAGCTTTACTTTTTCGCTTGGAAAAATATGGCATCCTTTATGGAGCAAGTCTATTGGCCAATAAAACTAAACTTAAAGTACAAAGAATATTATTTTTAGTGATTAAGAAGGGATGGTTTATTACTAAGGATTTGGTAAAAGAATTCCCCAGTAGCTCCCAATTGGTATAGTCATTGCCACTATGAAGATGGGGTCTCAAAAATAGGCAGATATCTGTTTAGGATTCTAATTTTATGTCTCTTCCAGACTTTCACTAATGGGCAAAGTTCCTCGATGGATTAAGTGGGGCATTCTCAGTGAAAGGTACTGTAGCCATGAATATGAAACGTAGGCTTTTCAGTATAGCCCTAAGGTCACATTTGCGCAAATTTATGGCCCAGCGTCAAACAATGTAGGTGATTTACTCTTCAAAGTTCTCAGTGTCCTTCAATAATATAATTAGTAGGCCTACAGGGAAGGCAATGAGGGAAAAGGTCTGAAAATCAAAGACAGAAGGGTGTAGTAAAGAGCAATGATCATAGCTGATTATCCTAATATTTATGGGAGGGAAGAGTCCAGGAAATGGATGCCCGACTTCGTGAGATATTCAGTGGGTTGGAGGTGGGGTAGGTAACACCATACCTGATCTCCAACTATTATAAGTTACCCAGAGTAAGACATAAAAAGGACAAGGAAAGGAGGATGAAGCAGAAAGAGAAAAGAAGAGAAGAGAAGGCAGGGAGGGGAGGAAGGGGTTGGGGGGACCCATAGTTTGTATGGAAGGGATTCTTCCGAGTGAAGAAGGAAATGGCATTTCTGTGGGTGATGTTAGCGGGTAACTGAGTAGAAGTGGGTAGGAGAAGTGGCTGCTTTGAGGAAATCAAAATGGAAACCAAGAATTGGACAATCAAGTGAGTAAGCAGCCTTGATTAATTTCTTGGGATGTCAAAGTGTATGAGCCTAGAGATAAACTCAACAGAATCTATATGCAAAATTGTACATAAATTGTTTTCCTGAAAAGGCCGGTAGTGTTAACGAGGGGTTGGCCTGACCTTCTCCTAGAGTCTAAAGGGTAAAGTACCTCCAGCTTAACGGAAATCATATCCTTTAATCAAATGAGGTGCTTCCTAGAAATCCTAAGTGCATGTTCTTCTAAACTCAAGGGAAAGAGTAGGAGTAATTGCAAATGAGAATTCAAGCATTAGGAAAACCTGTTTTTGTCTCAAGCAGGATTTTATATGAAAGTCTCTTTATACAATGTTACAGCCATCATAATGATAGACAATACTCAGTCTTTTCCTTTTATCTTTTTCTTGGAAACCTTAGGTACAGAAAGATTTAACAAGTAATTAAATCTGTGATTTTGATTAAGGAGAGGAAATTCGAAAGTAAAAACTCATACTCACTATAGGCTTTTTACTGACATTTGAAGATTTGCATCCTGCTAGACAAGGTGATACATAAGTTATTCCATTGTCCCCACAGATGGGTTCCCATTGAGTTTCATCACAATTACAGTCTGAGTTGCAATAAGAAAGTGGTACATTTACATGAGACGCCACTGGATTATTTCTGGAAATATGATAGACATATATCAAAAAGAGAGCAAGAGAGTAAGAAATAAGAACAAGGAAAGGAGGAGGAGGGGGGAAGAGAAGATAAAAGAGGAGAAGAGAGGGAAGGGAGACAAGGGGAGGCGAGGGGAAGGAAGGGTGGTGGAGAAATAAGAGTGTTGCCCTTTAATTAGATACAGAAATTTGATGAGTGATGGGTCAAAGTGGCACCTTTTCCTCTTCATGCCCATTAACTCTTCACCCTGCATCTGTACCCAGACATGATTTACAACCTAGGGAAAGTAAAATGTAAGAAAGAAACCAAAGAGTATAGGTAAGACTTCGATAAGAGGTCTTTGTGGTTCTATCAAGGAATTACTGATGAAATTTTTCTGAGACTCAGTTTCTCTTCAGTAAGGTAATGAATAGCATTAGACTAAGTTACTCCCCGTTCACTGTGAAGTTCCATGAATCTCTTTCTGAGTGTTATTTAACTAGTTTGAATTTTAAGATCTATATTTTAATTACATAAGAAAAGAATTTGATGTGGTCAAAGCAGAAGCCCTAGAAATAAATTTTTAAAAATCAGGAATAGAACCAGTTGAGAAAGACTAGAAAAACTCCATATACTTTTAAAATGAAACTACAACATACTTTATAACAATGTACTGTAAAGCATGGTTATACATGTAAAATATAACTTATAACATGGCTAAAATTACAAAATGGATGATTTATATGGCTAATTTTCTGCTTATAGATTTTTAAATTATTCTTTTGGTTTTGATAAAAAATATTGCTAATGATTAGGATAAAGTAACTTTAAATGAAAAAGTAAATTACATGAAGAAAGAAAAAACTAGATTCAGAAATTTTATTATCAATAATTTTACTAAAAGTCATCTAATACCTAATTCCACTTGGGGACAGATGATGGGGAGGGGTTAAACATGATTAATAACCCAGTCCAGACATTGCAATGAGATAGTCTGTGTTCACATTAATATTCCCACTTCACAGCAATGTGACTTTTTCTAAAATCAGTTTAGCCATTTGTAAGTCACACATAATAATATCAAATTTGGAAGGAAAAAATTAATTGGGCAGTTCTCATACTTTTTTGGTTTCTATAGCCCTTTCCACTCTTAAGAAGTATTGAGGATCCCAGAGGTATTTGTTCCAATTGGTCATTTCTATTTGCATATACTCCATTAATAATTAGAACTAAGAAAATTTTAAGACATAAGAATACACAAGAACACATATCATCAGCCATCAGGTTAACGTTATCACACATCTTGTAGCCTTAGACAAAATCATGAGAAAATGAGAATGGAAAAAGGCAGATAATTATTGTAAAAATAGATAAGAATGTGTTGACTCTCTGATAAGGTCTCAGAGACCCATACAAACCCTCAGACCATAATCTGACTTCTGCACTAACTCATTCTCTAAAAACTTCATGAATGTTGAATACATTGATTCTGTCCTTTGTTATCACTAAACATGAGGACATTGATGTATCCTATAAATCTTCTTGACCTTTATGGAGATTCTCAGTAAAATTTTTCTGAATGAAAAAATCCTGCAGAACTCTAGCTGCCTCCTTTTGAACAGACGGCACAGTTACTGTACCTGTTTTCAGGGAACTGGTGTCAGGCAAAAGCTTGTCCTGCAGACGAGGGAGCCCTTGGCATTAATGATGTGAGGTAGTGTCAGTCTGGAGTCATTGTGTGACTTCAAACAAGCCACAAGAAGAGCCCATAAGAGGGCTGGGCTGCATAATCTCTAAGGTGCTTTTATCTCTAAAATTCAATGTTCTAGAGATTCTGCATTTTGATTTATCAGAGTGGGTGATGGTGGATAGGAATATGCAGCAATAAGGATTAGGAGGAAGTGGGGAGATCATTCAAAACTAGATTAGCAAGCCTCCAAGAATATCATAACCTTTACGTAAGGAACAGATAGGGGAGATCTGACAAGTTAAAATTGATACCTCATAGTTTTTGGAGTCTAAAAGCTCAGAGCCAACAATAAGAAGCACGAAGAAGCAGGGTTACTGAACTGTGAACCTAGGACCTTTGTTGGTTGCTCGAATGTGAACCTTCCTAAACTTAAGGAAGCTTAAGTTAATGAGCTTGTTGGTTACATTCAGGAGATAAGAAATCTGCATGGGACTCCTGCCCTTGATTGAGGGTAGAGATCATAGGACTAGTAATACTTCACATACTTGATAATAATGAAAGAAAAGGTTTTCTAGTCCCTAATATGCAATTATACCCAGGATATTTATCAATTCTACTGCTAATGAAGACAATATCAGAAGAAATACTAGTAGCTTGCAGAAAAGGAGAATTCAGCGAGGGAGGTTTTCTATAAAGATAGTTGTTAAACATCAAAATTATCTGTAGATGAATATGGTTCAGTTACTTTTAGAAAATGTCATTTATATCCCTCTCATGATCAATCCAAGATTGCAGTGGTTAAGACTATGAGTTTTGGAGTCAATAATCCTAACTTGCAGTCAATACTAAGAATTAAAAAGACTCTTAATATTGCTAGCCATGTAATTTGTGTATCTGTCTAAGCCTTGCTTTCCCTATCTGTAAGGGATAAAAGTAACCATCACTCCTTGTAAGTACCCCATACATAATAACTATTATTACAACCTACGTAGCTTTTCTTTAAGGAAGGAAGAAAAGGAAAGCTTTCTGAGATTATAAGAAATGGGCATTTTAAGAATTTGCAAATTGAAATTTCTCTCAATTAAAAGAAAGTTTAGTTAAAATTGCTATCTTCACGGTTTTCCTCAGTCTTTTACATTGGGTCTTTATATACTGTGCAATTGATATATTGATAAATACGCACCCATCATAGGTCAAGGTTAGGCCAGCAACTGATTTGTTTTCGCAGATAAGTGCAAAATTTAATAGGTTAAACAAGAAGCCCAACACATTGGCAAGTAATGAAAATTTGGCAATTCCAAGCAAGCTAAGTTTGAATTTTCTAATGATGTATCCTCCTATAAACAGTCCAGCTGCAATAGTTGGTATGGTTATGATTCCTAAAAAAAAAAGAAGACAAAAAAGTCTAATTATATAAATATGATTTATGCTGAAATATTTTTCCATATATGAAACACAGTGTATATCAACCAGATTCTTCCAATCTTATTCTTAAGTAGAAGGCTGGCAGGCCAGGATGGAGGGAGGCGACCAGTGTTCCATATGAGAGACAAAATAATTTCTTCCTCTCAGTGCTGAGGGTTTGGGTCCCCCAGAAGCAAAAGTCAGTGACTGAAAATAATTGCATGCCTGAACAGATGGTTTCTATGGGTGTTTTTTCCTGGAAAACAGCAACACAATGTTATCTTCCTGCCTATAAGAATTTCATCCTGACCATCTAAAAACCCTTTACATCTCCTCAAAATAAAGAGCTCCAATCCTTAAAAACTCATTCCAAATTTGTCCAGTACTTTAGAATTAAACACTAGAATTAATATCTCTTCCTACTCATCCAAACACACATATACCCTGAGATGATAAATAAATCAAAATATGATATTAAAAATGATTGATCCTTTACAACTTTTCCATTTCATTGTCCTGTAAGAGTTATTAAAATGAAGACCCCTGCCTAATAAAAACCTTATTGGGAGTCAAACCTAACTTTTATGGTTTGAGGTTTTAAGTTCAATAAGAGCGTCATACATAACTATTTTCTTATTTACTTATGACTTAGATACCACTTGCTAAATTCAGTTTAATTTGTCAAATATTTGTTGAGTTTCTACAGTGTCCTGGGCCCTGTAGTGAGTAAAATACTGCTCTTAAGAATTTTACATTATACTAGGATGGGGGAAGATTATTATATGAAAAACCTTTCCTTCATAAGTAAGTCTCTATGTCATTGGAAATAGATATTGTAGCAAAACTCTCTAAAATGTGATATTTTCTCTGAATTATGCAGACATAATTGATAGCTTAAGCTGATTTTTCTTTTTGGAAATGTCAATGTCCTATTTTTTATAAGTATCTGGGTCTTCATTCAAAGTCCATAAATTATGGAATTATGATGATTATATTACAAAGGATTTCTCTCAGGAGCTCAGCACGAATTATAAGATCCAATTATGCAGCTGTCCTATCTAAATGTTCCATTCACACTCGACTTTTCCTTCAGAAATTCATCTAAAAAATAACATGAGATGCAACTTTAAATACAGAACAATATCATAAGATTGACAAATTTGCTAAGAGGTACAATGGAGTCAATGGAAATTATATTTACTAAATTATGAAATTGCCTTCACAACAAAATGTCACTTGGAACTCAATTACATGCTAGTATATCACTTATCAGGCAAATATAAATAATATCTTACCCAACAAAATGTTAGCCTCAGATGCTGAGCGACCATACTGTTGTTCTATGTATTTGAAGATATAAGTAAAGCCACCAATGAAGGTGCTGACTTGTAGCAACATTGAAAACACAAATATAACATATAGGGGATTGGTAAGGATACTTTTTATGGACTGTAGAAAACCTATTAAAAATAAAAATAAAATATAATGCACTTAAAGATATGTCAATATTTTAAATTATAGAAGATTTTAAATTATGTAAATACATAACACAGGAAGTCGGAATACTCTGCAATCTTACTGCCGATCATTTTTAAATATATTCTTTCAATTTTTTCCTTATGTATGTTCCTATTTATTTAGCTAACTCATTTTATCCCCAAATGGGAGCATACATACATGCTGCTTTGCAACTTGTTCTGTTGACTTCATGCGCACTTTGCTCTACCATACAACTGCAAAATCATGAGTTCATTTATTCATTCACTCAACAAATATTTGGTTTTCAATTGGGTACCAGGTAATATTCTAGGTGCTCAAGAAATAAACGTGAATAAGAAATGCAAGGTCTCTTATTTATTAGCACTTCATAATATAATTATCATATAAAATACAATAATTAAGTAGAAATTTACCTTAAAGTAGTATAATCCAAATCTCACAGAAATAAGGAGACTAAGGTTCAAAAATCAAAAGATCAATTTAGTGCCAGGTCAAATCTCTTGTATACCTGGTATACTACTACAAAATACTACCTTGTCACATCTGGCAGTATTATAAATCATCTTTCTCAAGGTGCAAGGACATGAAGAAAACGATGATGTTGTATCTCAAGTAACATTATGACAATAATAGTACAACAACCTGTGCCTACAAACAGGTGTGTAACAAATTTATAACATCTGTCCATGGCAAAATTATGTGATCTGGGTCTGTAATCGCCATGTCAACCAGCTGTAATTTGAGTTAAAAGTGGAAGGGACTATTTAGAAAAACAGTAGCAAGTATGAGAATCTAGCAGAACAAATCAGATATGCTCATTGAAAGATGGATGACATGGACTTTGAAAGATCTCACTCTATGGGTCTCTAAAGTTTTCCATTAAATAGAGTGAGAACTAAGTTTTCTATCCAATGGCAACTAAGAAATATTGTTATCTGCTTATAATAAGAAAAGAGAGGGCAAAGTGTGTAGAAGGGAAGAAAGAAGAGGTTAAGGAAATTATAGCTGGCATAAATAACATTGAAAATTGTTAGGTCAAAATGCTAAACCTCTCTCCATGGGCCTCCACAGTCAGGAAGGACAGTTAACCTGTGAGGCATTCTAAGTAAGTTTCACATTTCATCAAAAGAAATGAATTTCCAGGTTCTCCAAATCAGTGAATTTTTGAGGATGGGAACTTGGATGTCATATAGACTGAACTTCCACATGATCATGATCCACTACATATCCTCAATAAGTGAATCAATAAACAACTCAAGTGACATTAAAGTGACTACCTCAGAAAGGAAATCGCTCCATACTCACTGTTTACAAACTGTTTTTTAGTCAACTGAAATATTTCTTTCTTTCTGACCAATAGTCTTATTTCTACTCAAGAACGAGAGGATAAATCCAATATTGTTTTTTTCTGACTAAATGGTCTTAGTTGTGTCATCCATTCCTAATAGCACAAAGGTAAGGACCTCTTTACTATTCTGATTACTATTCTCCAAACACAGTTGATAAAATAGATGATGTTTGTTCTTGCCCTATTTTTATATCTTCATTATCCTCTCCACCCTTTTAGGGCACACAGTCAACCACGTTCCTCATGAATTCAGACAATCCACTGCTTCTTAGGGATTTGACTGATATCCTGGAAATGGTATAAACCAAATGAAAATTTCTTGGTATGCTATTTTTAGTGAGCATATTACATTTCAAAAACTTCTCGGTGATGTACTGGTGAATGTTTGACAACTGACTCTTGGGGAAACAAAGCCTGATTTGTCATAGTTTCTATTTTCCACAATAATAAACGGTGGTAAGTTCTCCCAACATAGCCAGTTTGAAGTCACTGGTACAGCTGAAAATTTAATAATCCTTTCATGAACCAATTCAAGCTCCAGCACAACATTCTTTTTGTATTAGTGTGATAGGGAGGAGAAAGTAACATTAAAATGAATGAACAAGTGAACTGATGAGACGGAGAACTTGGGCTACATCTGAGAATCTTTAATGTCACTTGAACTTCAACTTGAAGAAGTTGCCAAGGGTTTGGACACTGCTCTGCTTTGGCTTTTACTATTCTACCATTTCTGTGCAATCTGAAAACTGCAACGTTGAAACACCTCATTATTTCAGCCCTCTTGCTCTGACTGCTTGCTGCTGGATCATTCTCCAGATTATTGCTCCTAAATTGTTCTCCATTAGCCATCATGGCTTATGCTTGAAAGAGAAGGTGCTGTCAAATGGTGGAGAATCCTTATTCATGTTACAGACTTGGATAATCTTTACTACTGTTGCTTCCACTGCATTGTTGAATATTTAGGTAAGCAAACTGTTTTCTATATAATTACTAAGAAAATAATCTTACTCTAATTATGTAGAAAGAAACCGTCTCTGACATCCTTCTTCTGATTGCACCTTTCCACCTAAGAATAGTTAAGTTGCCCAATTCATAGTCACCCATAATTCTCTAACTTTACCATATTTACTGAACTGCTATTGTCTATATTCTTCTTGGTGTGATCCATTAGATTGTAAATTCTTGGAAAACAGAGGCAATAGTCTATCACCAGGGCATAGTATGCAGTTTGGTAGTATTTTTGAATGAATGAATGAGTGAATGAATGAATGAATAAATTAAATATTAAAGTCCTTTTAACCCTAATAGTTTATACTACAGAATTTTGAAATGAATATATACTGAATATATACTCTTTGGTTTGTAAGTAACAGATATTTTTAGCCTTTTTCTGGTTTCTCCCTGCTAAAGACAACAAACCTAATTCTCTTCAAAGAGGTGGTATGTGTTCAGAAAATATTTACTTGCTTTAGTGGTAATGCTAAAACAATGCTATCTAATTTACTAGCTTTGTAGCAGTGAAAAATAATGCAGCTAAACTGAGTGAATAAGAAAGCTAACTCTAGATTACATGGAATATTCACTGAATCCTTTCACTGGGGTTAACAGTTCCAAATTGCCTCTGAATGTGGCCTACTCACCAGTTAGATGTTCAGTAACATTTTGTCGCCGGTTGGTCAAATTAGCCACTTGACTTTTTTCCTTATTTGTTTTGAGTGCATGCATAGATACTGAAACTTTCCTTTCTTTCTGTGTTTTACCCTGACTTTTTGGCAGGAAAAAGAATGGCGTAGAAGACATAATGGACAATAGTCCAGCCACAAGGAAACTTATCCACCAAGCACCAACCCAACGGGAGTCCTTAGGAGTTATTCGGATACTGCCTAGAATAAAGAATTTGAAGACACCAGTCAAAAATCATTTTGAAATGCAACAAATTCTGCAAGATAATGGTAATGACTGCTCTCTTCCATAAATGGGGGAAATAAACAATAATTCATCAATTCTGGGACACTCTTTTTCCTAATTTTGCTGTTTCTGAAATCAGGGTAAGTCTGACATTTAATGTTATCTCACAATTCCTACTGTCCAGGAATTCAGTCATGACATTGTCATTGTCTCAGCCTGTGTGAACTTCATAGCTTTTCTGGTGACATGACTGGACAACTGACATCACTGAATATTTCAGGCTGCAAAGCACCTAAGGATCTCTTATAAAATGTATATGAAACTTCATTATTGTGTGGAAACATCTGAGCTCCACCTGCTAGGGTCAAGAAAGCATAAACAATGAAAAGTGCATCAGTTAAGAGCCAAAAGTGGTTTTTTGTTTTGTTTTGTTTTGCCCTAAACTTGTATTTCCACTGCTTTTGACACTTTGACAGCACAGTGTATGATATCTTCACCAAGGAAGATACACACACAATGAAAACTGGAGTTTCAAAGGGACCCAGGAGAACTGGACTCTAAATTTTAGGGATAATTTAACCATTTTTATTTCAATTATATTTTCCTTTCAAGCATGAAGAATGATATATAAATGCTCTATATCTAAACAAGAAAGAGGAGGGATGGCACCAAGATGGTGACATAGGTTGTTCCCGATTCACTCCCCTTTGCAAGGAGAAGTGCTAACAACTATTCAAGAGCAAGATCCCCTGGGAGGGTCCTGCAGAATGAGGGTGAGGCGGAAGCACCCCTGTGCACCACAGAAACCAAGACGGACTGCATGAGAGGGGAAGAGAGGTGCTCGGCATTGACTGCCCTGTCCCTCCCCCAGGCCAGCACAGCACTACTGCCAAGAGGTCTCCCCTAAGCCTCCAGGTCTTCCAGTGGACCAACCTGGTAGGGGGTAACCAGCTACCACTCCGACCCCCAGCACTGTGGGTCACTTTTCAGGAGTCCATTCTCTGATCTGGCACCACAAAGACCACAGGAGAATCTGCGGGGCTCAACCACTGGGAATCACACTATGACAGAATAGAGGGGAGAGGTTTGCAATGACTAGCACACACATCTTGGCAGATCAAGTTCATCCCTATAAATGCCCAGGTAGTAATCCCAACTGGTGGCTTTGCTCATCTGTAGAACACGTTTAGAGGGCACTGTGACTAGGGAACTTGGCAGGTACATGCACATTTGCCTGATTCAGATCCTCAAATGAAACGTTCTGCTGGTCCTAGAGCCTGGTTTTCCCATGCCACGCAAAGAGCTGAATCACAGCTCCAACCACTGTGGAGAATGTGTATGGCTCCATTTGATAGCAGGGCTGGCAACAACTTCTCGAAGCAGTGTGGCCCAGGTAGAGCTGAATGCCCCCAGCAAAAAGTCAGTGCAAGTCACAGAGCATACCCATGCTATGCACAGGCAGGGGGATTAATTCATAGCCATGGATATGAATTCATTCTCAGCCCCTCCCAACCAAAGACACTCTTTGGAAAATTGCGGGTAGCCTGGAGTAGCACATCCTCTTCTTGCCCAGGCAAGGCTGCTGAATGACAGCCCCACCCACTGTGGAGAGTGTCTTCCAGTCCCACCTGACAAAGAGGGCTTTCAATTCCTATAACTGTGCAGCCCAGCAGCCCTTGAGCTGAGTGGTGGGCAGGCAGAGCTGATAGTGTTCAGAACAGATCCAGTAGCTCTGTTGAGTCAGAGAACTTGGGGTGCAGATCAGCTTGAGTTAAGACAACAAAGAGCTTTACCAGCTTTAGAGCTCCTTCTCCCACTGTGCCCAAGTAGGGGACCTAATTCACAGCTCCACTCACTGCTGAATACAGCCTTTACTCTTTCCAACTAGGGAGCCTAGCCCAGAGCACACAGGAAGCTGCAGAGCCCATTCAATGGCCCCACATACAGTGGCGCTTAAACAAAGGCCACAGTCCATGGCTTCCTCCATCTACAGAGCAAACCTGGGTGTCTGACCTCAGTAGCGAATGATGCGCATATTCTTTCGGGTCCCCAAACAGTGAGCGTACCTGCCTTAGGTTCTGTCCTGCTGCCCTGCCAGGCCAGGGAGGCTAAATCACAGCCCCAACTACTGTAGCACCTGCTCCCAACCAGACTCTGCCCGACCAGAGAATCCAGGCAATCACAGAGCCCATCCTGCAGCCTCACATGGGTAGGGAACCGAGGCCGCAGTCCTGTCCGACTGCTTTCAGCCAGTGGCACACCCCACTACCCCTGTCCTCAGAGCTTAGACTTGCCTTGCCCCAAAATGGACCATAATAGCATGCTCCATCTGCCCAAGGATATTACCAGCAGATGAATCCAGAAACATCAATTGAACTGATTGGTGAAGAACTGGCAGAAAAAGACAAAGACTGTATGATCTTCCTTACATGTGGAATAAAAAAAACAAAAAACCCAAAACTCCTAAGAAAAGAGATCAGACTTGTAGTTACCAGAGGCAGAAGGCAGGCGGACAGGAATTGGAATTGGAGGAAGGTGGTCAAAGGTAGAAACTTCCAGTTATAAGATAAGTAAGTACTAGCTAATGGACAATATGATGAGTATAGCTAACACTGCCGTGTGATATACAGGGAAGTTGGGAAGACAGGAAATCCTAAGAGTTCTCATCACAGAGAACAATTTTTTCACTTTTTTTTCTTTTCTCTTTATTGCATCTATATAAGAAAATGGTTGTAACCTATTGTAATCATTTCAGAGTATGTAAAATACCTAGGAATAAACCTAACCAAGGAAGTGAAAGACCTATACCCTGAAAACTACAAGACACTCTTAAGAGAAATTAAAGAGGACACTAACAATGGAAATTCATCCCATGCTCTTGGCTAGGAAGAATTAATATTGTCAAAATGGCCATCCTGCCTAAAGCAATCTACCAATTCAATGCAATCCCTATCAAAATACCAACAGCATTCTTCAATGAACTGGAACAAATAGTTCTAAAATTCATATGAAACTACAAAAGACCCCGAATAGCCAAAGCAATCCTGAGAAGGAAGAATAAAGCAGGGGTGACCTTGCTTCCCAACTTCAAGCTCTACTACAAAGCCACAGTAATCAAGACAATTTGGTACTGGCACAAGAACAGACCCACAAACCAGTGGAACAGAATAGAGAGTCCAGATATTAACCCAAACATATATGGTCAATTAATATATGATAAAGGAGTCATAGATATACAATGGGAAATGACAGCCTCTTCAACAGCTGGTGTTGGCAAAACTGGACAGCTGCATGTAAGAGAATGAAATTGGTTCATTGTCTAACCCCATACGCCAAAGTAAATTTGAAATGGATCAAAGAACTGAATGTAAGTCATGAAACCATCAAACTCTTGGAAAAAAACATAGGCAAAAATCTCTTGGACATAAACATGAGCAACTTCTTCATGAACTTATCTCACCAGGCAAGGGAAACAAAAGCAAAAATGAACAAGTGGGACTATATCAAGCTGAAAAGCTTCTGTACATCAAAGGACACCATCAACAGAACAAAAAGGCATCCTACAGTATGGGAGAATATATTCATAAATGACATATCTGATAAAGGGTTAACATCCAAAATATATAAAGAGCTCATGCACCTCAACAAACAAAAAGCAAATAATGCAATTAAAAAATGGGCAGAGGATCTGAACAGACAGTTCTCCAAAGAAGAAATTCAGATGGACAACAGGCACATGAAAAGATGCTCCATATCACTAATCATCAGAGAAATGCAAATTAAAATCACAATGAGATATTGCCTCACACCAGTAAGGATTGCCGCCATCCAAAAGACAAACAACAAAAATGTTGGCAAGGATGTGGAGAAAGGGGAACCCTCCTACACTGCTGGTGGGAATGTAAATTAGTTCAACCATTGTGGATAGAAGTATGGAGGTTCCTCAAAAAACTAAAAATAGAAACACAATTTGACCCAGGAGTTCCACTCCTATGAATTTACCCTGAGAATGCAACAGCCCAGTTTGAAAAAGACATATGCACCCCTATGTTTATCGCAGCACTATTTACAATAGCCAAGACATGAAAGCAACCTAAGTGTCCATCAGTGGATGAATGGATAAAGAAGATGTGGTACATATATGCAATGGAATATTACTCAGCCATAAGAAGAAAACAAATCTGATCATTTGCAACAATATGTATAGAGCTAGAGGGTATTATGCTCAGTGAAATAAGCCAGGCAGAAAAAGGCAAGTATCAAATGATTTCATTCATATGTGGAGTATAAGAACAAAGGAAAAATTGAAGGAACAAAACAGCAGCAGACTCACAGAACTCAAGAATGGACTAACAGTTACCAAAGGGAAAGGGACTGGGGAGGATTGGGGGGAAGGGAGGGATAAGGGGAAAAAAAAGGGGGCATTACTATTAGCAGACATAATGTAGGGGAGGCACAGGGAGGGCTGTACAACATAGAGAAGATGAGTAGTGACCCTATAGCATCTTACTACGCTGATGGAGAGTGACTGTAATGGGGTATGTGGTGGGGACTTGATAATGGGGGGAGTCTAGTAAACATAATGTTGCTCATGTAATTGTAGATTAATGATACCACACACAAAAAAACCTAATAAGAAGAACTCAATCTTTTCTATCTCAATAAGAAGATAGTCTCAATCTTCTGTATGGGAAGTACAATTTGAGGCCAAGTACTGTATGCCTTATGGGTGTTGCGGGTAGGTGATTCACCATCACTAATTCTTTCTGGTTTAACCACCACACCTGACACTCTACTCACTTACGTTACCTGTTTGTCTCTTCTAGGCACTGGATTTGCCAAAGTGTACTTCATAATACATTTCCATCATTCTTATGACTGAAGAAGAGAAAATGTATTAAGATCTAAACATTCAGTGCTAGAAATGGAATCACCATGAATTCTAAAATATTGTGAGTGGTGATTTCTGATTAGAGAAGTGAAGTTACAAAACTGTCATCCTAAAGACTTTGACTATATCTGTGTAATTAGTGATAAAAAACAATAATGAACTTGGAGGTGACTGAGTAGAAATGTATGGAATACAAACTTACTCTAATTCACACACCAGAAATAGAAGATATAAAGCATCTCACGAGGTACTTGCTTTAGTTTTACATTATAAAATACTTTCTAGTTTATGATTTTTGTTGGTTTATGTGATGTCTACTCCATTTTGGAAATGAGTCTTTTGATCTCCTTGGATATCTGTTTAAGTCCTGGTAGGATAGAAAATCAAATTTATTTGTTCACAAACACTAATTATTCATTAATATGAAGGCAGATGCCATTCTGTTATGTTCTGAAAGAGATGGAAGGTAAGGGCATACACTTATGGCTTACTGTGATAAGGGCTCCAATAAAGGGATGCTCTGGTGACTAATAGGGGCCCTTAACTCTGGGTCAGTGGGAGGTGGTAAAGTAGGGCTTTTCTGGAGGCACATTTTGAAAGACACTTTAAGAACTAAGCAAGCAAAAGAGAGAAAGGAAGTTTTCCAAGGATTAATGTAGGTAAGTAAAATTACAAGGCACGTTGAGAGACCTGCAATCTGTTTGCCATTAGTTTGGGTAAAGTCATCTCAAGCAAGTTTGTTGAAATCTTCCCATTTTACAGTTATTTGTAAAAGTCTGGTGTAGCTATGAACTGAATTTTATTTTTATTTTGGTTATTAACACATTTCCTATTTGTACCTTTTTACAAATAGTCAACAAAGGACTATTGAAAGAGTGAACTCGAATATTTGGAAGAAGGCTGTCTTGTATTTGAAAAGCATTATCATGTTACTGTCTCTGACTATACTTACTTAGATCAACGTATCCAATATCCACATACAATTTAGCAGACAGAGATCCCAGTATAAAGCCAATGACTGGACCAATCATTGCTATTGCATGCAAAGAACCTGAAAATATTATAAAACAATTTTATCAGATGCCATGAATACATGACTCTTACTCAGTATGGGTTTTAAAGTGACATTACACAATACATTTCTCCAAATAATTTTTTAATAAATAAAAAAATGAATTTAGAAACAATATTATGTCAAGCATAGACCCAGGGAAAGCAGTCATAAAATCTAATATTTTCTATTCATTACCCATATAAAAAGAAGACTGTCCTTCTTCAGCAAAATCATCAATATAAGAAATCCCCAAAGGTGCTATGGGGGTTTCCCCAATTCCACGGAGCATGTTACCCATTAGGATATATATCCACATATATGACCCAGATTCCTTTTCACAACCTATGGAGATAAGATAGAGTTTTATTTTAAACCTTAATTTTAGCATTCCTATTAGAAACTAACTATTTCAACTCATAATTATTCCATTAAGATTTTTTTTGCTTTTTTTCTAATTATAGGTAATTCAGACATTATAAAATATGAAAATATAAAAAAGGCACAAAGAAAATAAGTAAAAGTTATCTGTAATCCTACCATATATAGAGAGCCACTTCTAGTATTCATATATATCACCCATATTTTTAGTTCACATAAAAATATGCATGATATTCATTAGGTACATTATATAATTAAATGTCCAGTTTTTATTGCAATCTACTTTTACAGTTAACACCATAATATAACAATTTCCCCATGTTATTAAGATTTCTTTTTCAATATTTTAATGACTGATTTAATGATTGCATAGTAGTGTGCTAAATAAAAATTTCATAATTTATTTAATTAATCTTTTTTACTCATTAAATATTTCTATTTTTTCATTCTATTAAACAGACATGCCATAACTACAAATATATTTAAGTCCTGTACATTCTTATTTCCTTACAATAAATCAATAAAAGTGGAATTGCTCATTTAAACATATGTGCATATTTTTTCTCTTTACCGTATAGAAAATTAACTTCCAAAAAGAGTTAGAAATATACTCCCAGCAATGCACAAAATGTGCATTTTTTTCTCTACACATTTCTTCTCAAGTTTTTCCTATCTAATAGGTAGAAAAATCTTTAGTGTTATAATATATAATTAGGACTTATGATTTGTGTAATAATAGTAAAAAACAAATTGATGTAATGATTGGCATTTTTATAAAGATTAATTATATTTTTATATGCTTATGCCATTTCCCTCCTCATTTTAATTGCATATACTCTGATAATTTCCTACTGAAATATTCCTCTTTTCTTATTCCTTCTAAAAGTTCTCTCTATATAATATATAGTAAACTATGTTTTGTCTTATATACGCAAATGCAAATGTTTTTCCTGTTTGTTTTAATCAATTTTGCTAATGAATATCACAGTTTTATAGATATAATTAAGTTGATGTGTTAGAATATTTATTAGTGACATTATCAATTCTTACTTTTTTCTTCTATGTCAGATGTTGTATTGAGTAACAAGTTTTGATTAATTGAACAAGTGGTTAAGCTTGATATTGAATTCTCTGATGGATCCATAAAACTTTCTTTAGAAAACCTGTAACTGTAAAACATTAGTAGATTTAAAATTATGCTTATGTACTGAATATTTTCAGTTTTCCCAGAAATACAGAGGACTTTTCTCCTTTATTTGCACCATTCTCTTCTCCAAATTATCAGAATCCTCTCTCAATTTCTCAGCCTGTTTCCTCAGTATGGTTCCCGCAATCTGTTTACCATTATTTTGGGTAAAAAAACCATATTGAGAAATTGGTTGAGGAAATTTTAGAAAAAGTAATGAGTATTTTAGAAGTGAAATGGGAGTGCTAAGAAGTATCATTCAATAGTGCCCAGGAGAAATGGATTATCACATTGCTATCATTCTAGGAGTGTTTATATTCTGATCAAGATATGAAATACTTTGGTTTCATGCTAAAAAAATCTTCCATATCTATAATCCCCTTTGAATTACCTAAAAAGATGGTCACAATCTAAATTTCTGGTAACATTTAATACATTTCAGAGCAGTATTTTTCAAATCAACCTACAATGTACACCAATAACCTGCCTGATTTTCTTTCACAGATACACATGCCCCCAGCCCCCAACACACACTCATATGCCTGACTCTTCAAAACTTAGTTAAAAAATTTTGAATCTATTTCAGCTTGATGAGGGAAAACCTAATAAGAACAACAGAGATAGAGTTAGAATAGGGACAAATACTGATATCCAAAAATACTGAGGTACCCCATGAGCTCCAAGGGCAGCCTACTGTATGCTAGGCATTATGCTCAGCTCCAAAGGACTAGAAATAAAACACAGAGTTTTGGTACTTAGGACATTTTACAGTCTCTAAAATAAACATAAACATATGTTTATATATATATATATTATACATGTACAGAAAATGTATGTAATCATATATGACAGTTCAATATACCAGGTCCTGAGTTGTCATAAATAAAGGAGAGATGAACAGATTTCCTTGGAGGAAGGGGGGGAGGGTGGATTAGAAAAGACTTTACAATGAGAATGATATGTGAGGTGAATTTTGAAGATGGTTAGGAGTTTAATAGGTAAACAAAGAAGGAAAAACATTCAAGGCTATAGAAGTACAATGTAAGGTATGATATACCATGCCACATTTGGAAAACTGCAGGTCTAGGGTGTGGTCCTCAGTCATAGGAACAGTGTGAGATGAAGCTGGGAACAGAGTCAAGAACTAAGTCAATGAGCAGCCTGTATATGCAAATGACTTTAGAGATTGATCCACAGGTGAGAAGCATTCAATATTTTTGACTGTGGTCAAGAGTAAGAAATATATTTTACATCACAACTACAATGCATACATACCCACCCCTCTAGACACATACTCACAAATGTATATATAACCAAAACTTCTACAGAACAATATTTGTTCTCTTTCACAGTGTATAGTCTTCCATTTTATCCTATTAAAAACTTGTTGGTCTCAATAATCTGAACTGATTTATTGGTCCACTAGTGGTTCAGAATCTGAAGTTCGAAAAACAATGCTCTAGAAACTGGGAGTTTTAAGCAGGAGTAAAATAATTAAATTAATGTTTTAAAATAAATACTATAGAACATGAGTTAGAATGGAGTTGAGACTGGACTTAACCAGCCCAGACCAGAAGTGAGAGAAACCTCAACTAGGTTAGGAACAGTGCGGATAAAAGGAGGGGACAATTTTGGTGACTAGGAGGTAAAGTGAGCAAGATTTAGAAAGCACTGACCATCCATGTTGAAATAAAGAAAGAGTCTAGGATGAGGCCCTTGACCTTGGTTTGACTTCCTATGTGGCTAAATGAATTGTCACTGAAAGAATAAATGTGAAAAATTTGGGCTGGTTTTGGCATATTAATGAATTTGGTTTTGAATACATGGGTGGGATATGCTTATAGGATGTCAAGTTATAGATACCCAGGAGGTGATTGATTATATATAGATCTTGGGCATAAGAAAATGTCACCACGTACAGGGCATAGTTGCATCTAACGCACACACTCCATGCAAGTCATCTAGAATCAAGAAGATTGAAGAGAGAATTTAGGGGTTACTGGCATTATGGTGTCAGCAGCAAATGAAACAAATGGGCATGAGAAAGAGGTCACTAAGATAGGATATAAATCAGGAGAGTGTAATACAATGACGGTAAGAAGGAGCAATATGAGGAAGAAAGTTCTTATGAGGATTAAATAAGAAAAAAAAGTAATAATAAGGAATTAATATGGTAACCAAAGTCATGGCTGTTGGTTTTGGCAGTGAGTAAGTATTTAGTGTCTTCAGCACTAAATACTTAGTGGTCTCAATATCCATTCTCCTCTCCTTCCCTTCTATTAGAAGACGGGAATTTTAACTAGGAACATGGAAGCCTGGAATAAAGTGTGTTTTTTCCAATGTCTTTATATTTGAATATGGGACATAACAAAATTCTGGCCAAAGTGAAGTCAAGAGAAGTGTTATGTTTTTGAAAACATTTCTTCAGCCCCAGCCTGTATATACTGTTTCTTCTATTGTCATTCTTCCTTTCTTCTATCCTGTTTCCTGGGACAATCCTGCCACAGTTTGGACCACAAGGTTGAGGCCATGCAAGACAGAGAAATATGATAAAAAGCAGTAACCTACCATCCCTGGGCTGGCTACATTAACATTTTGTATAAAAAATAAGCTTTACACCTTATTTAAGTCATCATGATTTTACATTTCCTGTCATTAGTATCTGATTCTTATCATAACTACATAGTGACCTTAGGAAGAACAGTTTCCATAGAAATGATATTGGGAAAACCCACACTTCAATGAGTTGGGTGGCGAACTCTTATTAAGTATAGACAAATAGTATTGGCAAGGACACAAAGTATACATGTTACTAAAAATCATAAAGAGCTTATTTATTTCCTAGGAAACTGTACACCTTTAGTGCTATTCATATTTCAAAGTCAATGAAAGCCATGGCAGATAAAACAGTAAGTTTATTATTCATTTCTGCACATGCGTAGTGGGTATTCTTCTCAAAAGGGGACTATTGAAATGGAAAATGAATTCCACCATTAGTTTACAATTAAATGATGATTGATGCCACAGAGCTGTTTGACACTTACTAGCCCATGAAGAAATGTGGTAAAGCGGTCAAAATACTTCCAGTTCCCATAATCAGACAACCAAGGCCAATGATCTTTGGTCTGTGTAGTTTGGATCCAAAGTAACTCACAAACACAATCACAAATAAATTTCCTAGAAAGAGACCAAAATTATTTTGATATGATTCATTATAGCAGACATTGACTGAGTCCAGTTTTGTGGCCAGCAACATAGTGGGCCCCAGGATGAATACAAACAGAGCTTAAGACATGGGTACTTCCCTCGAATGTCATGTGATTTAACTGAGAAGAAGAAATTCACACTAAAGTTGTATTGTAATAAAAGTATAATAGGCTTTAAAGACAAAAGAAAACACTTGAAGTACTCAGCAATCTCAGTGAATTTATTGAAGAATTTACTGAAAAGTTTATTGAAGAATTTGGAGTTGACTGGATTGTATTGGAATGGAGAAAACTGGAGAAAATCTTTCCCACCTGAGGGAGAGGTATTCATTTATGTACTTATTTGTTCACTCTTAGCATTTTTTAAATCCTGCAAAGTGTCTGCCATGGTGTTAGGGGCCAGGAATATGAAAAAAGAATAAATCATGGTATCTGTCCTCAAAGAACTTGCATATTGATGATCAAAATAGAGGGACAGCGGTGCTATTAGACCACAGAAAGGGGATCTTAAATTAATTCGGAGTTTCAGAAAAGTTTCCTGGAGGAGAGGCCACTTGAGATTTAATACCAAGCAATAACTATTTAGATTAAAAAGGGGAGGAAGAGCATTTCAAGTGGAGGGAGTCACAGCCAGGTCTGACCCACCTGGAGCTACAGGCATAAGAATAGACAACTACCAAGAATAGCTGAACATTTGATAGAAAAATAATAGCATGAAATAAAAGCACCAAAATGAACAGCCAAGTAAAGTAACCCATAAAGAAACAGTTAAATAAGGAAACTAAGGAGAAGAAACTTTGAAAAAATGCAGTCAGTTTTTCTAAAGGCACAAGGGTATGTCACATCCATAAAGTAAAAGGTAGCAGACTAAAAATAATAAGAGAACAATAAGGCATCGTTGTGAATTTAAAATATCACAGATAAACCTACATATGATGACTTGATAAGATGGAAGATAGTGTCAGAGAAGATTGTTGGAAAGGAAAGGAAAAAAGGTAGAACTTTAGAAAGAAAAGCTTCAAAGAAAATAGTCAGAAAATAGAATATTCATCATGTATACGCTTCAGAAGAAAATAGACGGGAACACACAGATGAAAAAAACTGAAAACAAATTCCCTGAGTGAAGGGAAGACTTCACCCTTCAGATGAACATTTCTTCATTTCCCAGGCAGAAGTAATGGGCAAGAGACAGTCTTAGATACACATGGGTAAAATGTCTGAAATTCAGGGATAAAAAGGAGGTAACGGTCAGTGCATGACGACACCTATAATGATCTCTCATATATAATGCTGGGTATTATAAGACAGCAGATAAATGTATAAAGTGTTCTAAGGAGAAAAGATTCTGAACTTTTAATTCCCTACTCAGACAAGTTATCGCTTGGATAACAAAATAAGTACATTCTCCAGCAAGCAAGAGCTCAGAATATATTGTTATGTGATCAATTATTTCTGTGAAAAAAAAAAAACTACTTAGAGATATACTCCAGACAAGCTAAAGATGAGAAGTCATAAGATTCAAGAAACAGTGGTAAGCAAGGAAACCAGTAAAACTTACAACCATGTCCAAATAATTGCCGCTAAATAGACATAAAGTTTAACAAAAATACTAAGAATCAATTCCTCAGTAAAAAGAGACCTATAGCAAATTATAATGTAAAACCAGTAACAGTCTAAAACTAAAATTCTACATGGTTTTATTAAAACTCTGGGAGGTGTAATAGCCTCTGAGTGTCGGACATTAGATACTAGGCTGTGCTAGGTAGGGTATAAAAGCCTGTGAATCATGAGAAGGCAGAACTCATAACAAAACCTTAGATGGGTCTTCCTTTATACAATGATTCAAAAAATGTTTTAGAATTATTTTTTAAATATTAAGTACCTAAATATATTTTAAAGTTAAAAGGGAAGCAGCAAACTTGTAGAAAATATTTGTAATCTATGCAACAGACATAATTACTGAATCCCTTCAAGTCACTAAAAAGTGAAAAACAAAAAAAAGGGAAAAGAGGGCTAGAGGTAATAAGGTACCAATTCATAAAATAAGGGAAAATCATGTTCAGTAATTATTTATATTACTGGAGAAATACAAATTAAAATGAGGATGAAAAAGCAATATATTAAATATCCTTAAAAATATTTTCATTCTAACCAGTTAAGCATCACAAAAAAGCCCGACGTAGATGCTCCCAAAGCTGCTCCTCCCTCCTCAGATCACCAGAATCAGAACCTTCTCTACAACCATTTCCCACACTAGGGCTTCTTGAGGAAAGGGATGTGGAGCCCTCCCTGCAGATTATTTATTGACAAGCAGCATGAGTCGGTGTGCAGCAGGGCTTTTCAACCAGCACTAGTGACATTCTGGATGATTCTTTTGTGGGGGGGGGGCTGTCCTGTGTGTTGTAGGTTATTTAGAAGCACCCCTGGCCTCTAGCACCAGATGCCCCGGAGGGATTCCCTCCCCTCCTTTATGACAACAAAAAATGTCTTCAGATATTGTCAACTTGCCCCTGAGAGGCAATTTTACCCCTACTTGAAAACTCAGCGTTAATGATGAACAGTTTTTATCTCTGGTTATAAAGAATAATCAGCATAGAAATAAAAACTTACCAATTTCAAAGCTTCCATCAATTAAGCCAGCAACAGAAGATGGTATGTCAAATCTCCTTTCTATCTGAATGATGGAACTTTTCATAACGATTCCACCTAGGGACTTACAAATAAAGCTAAGGGACAGGGCTGCCAAGAACATCTACAAAAAAGCACAGAGAAGGGGGCAAATGGTTACTCAAAGGGCTGCAGATGTTTACATGTGCACAGAATTGAAATAGATTTTCTTCTTTACTTAAAAAAGTATTTTTATCATAAAGGGCACGCATACTCAGCTTTATTCTACAACAATTGGTACTTGGTCATTTTAATGCTATCATTGCTATACTGTCATAAAGCATATTTTCTCACTTGGTGACAGTATCAGATGACTAGAGCAGTAAAGTTGAAGCTGTTATTTTTTCAATGAATGTCATTCACTGATTTCTAAGAAGCTAGATAATGGCGATGATGATAATCTATTCTTTATTACCAAGTGAATAACATGAGCTCACTGTGAAGGGACCAGCTAGACATTCTCAGAGGTAGCATTTCCAGGAAGCCAGCTGAAAAATGGAACTTCTTTCATTTATAAAACTTTACCATTATTACAGAAATGCAAATGCAAATGGAAACAACAAAGCAATATAGTCAATGTACTAAAAAAAAAAAAAAGAAACGACTTTTAACCCCAGTGGTTATCGATGTTTTATTTTCAACTTCATTTTAACAACATTTATTGATTCATCCTTCTTACAGCCCACATTCATATCCATCAGTTAATTCTTTTTAGAGGTAGTATAAAAATATTCACCTGTTATAGACCTCATATTTGCATCCCCACCGAATTCAGCTGTTGAAGCCCTAATCTCAAGTGTGAAGATATCTGGAGATGCGTCCTTTGGGAGGAAACTAGGTCATGAGTGTGGAGCCCTCCAAATAGGATGAATGTCCTTATATGAGACCGCTTCTTTCTCTCCCTCTGCCACGTGAGGACACAAGGGAACAGCCATCTGAAAACCAGAGGGAGGCTTCTCGCCAGAACCCAACCATGCTGGTACCCTGATCTCAGACTTCCAGCCTGCAGAACTGTAAGAAATGAATTTCTGTTTTTTGAAGCACCTGGTCTACGACATTCTGTCATAGCAGCCCAAGCTGACTTAGGCCCTCCTTATTACCTCACATAGTGGCCACCAGCATGTCTAGCCTGGATCATTGCCTTAGCTTCCTAATAGATCTTCTCAGCTTCTGTTCGCACACTCCTAAGTCTTTTCTCAACACAGTAGCTAGAAAAATTGTTTCAAAATGAAAATTATATCATTCCACTCCACCCTGTTTTCCCATCTCACTTTCTGTAATACATAGTCTTTCCAATGACCTACATAAGGCCCTAAATGATCTGTCCTCTTTGCTGGGAGATATCCTTTCCCCACAAATACCTTTCTTATTTTGCCTTCTGTTACTCTAGTCCTTTTTCATTCCTCTCCAGCGGCACCCGCCTTCTTGCTGTCCCTTGAGCATTCCAGGTTTATAACAGGGCCCCCGGGGTCTTGGTGTTCGCTCTCCTTTCTGCAGGGAAATCTTCCCCATGGTCAAATGCCTATCACTCACTCACTCCTACGTCCCTGAAGTTTTTGCTCAATGTAACTTTTGCAGTGAGGCTTTTTCCTTTTTTTTTGAGTTTCCTAATAAGTTTTATTATATATAGTATGAGGAAAACCCATTAAAAAGCAAAGATAATTTGTTTGCCCCAAAACATGTTAAATAATTTATATGAAATGCTTAACACATCTAAGAAAATAAGTATGCATAATGGAAAATGTACAAGAAAAGAAGTAAGAGGGATGCTTCTGTATAGAACTCAGTGGCATCAAAAATACAACTTTGGAACTCAGAGCTGTGCAGAAAGCTTTTTAAGACAGTTATGTTAAATTACCCACATGATGTATAGCAGGATGAACTCCCTTCTGCTGATCACACATGACCATTTATCAAGAGCCGTGAACAGATCCCCTTATTTCCTCAACGTTGCTCTGATAAACTGCAATTTCAGTTAACCTTGGACAGTGACTTAACAGCTTCAGGGGACAACTATTGATACTGTTCTGGGTCCTGAGTACACAATGATTAAACTGAAACCCAAGACACAGGTCATGAAATTTTCTTCATCTGAAATTAGAATTTTTATTTTTAATACCTGTTTCCATAAAATAGGCCAAAGACACTGAAAAGTGCCTTTTAAAGATTTGCATTTATCTCAACTCTCGATTTGCCAGGCTATATTACAAATATTAATATAATATTCATTAAAAATAAAAGCACATTACCAAAACTTTGGAAGTCTCAGAACTTACGCCTGAGCAGGTGCCCCTACTCTCCAGTGAGGGTTTTCTGACCAACCTAGTTAGAAGAACAGCACTTTTGCCTCAGATTGCATTTAATTTCTTTACTTTAGGTGTATTGCCCTCGAGTATAATCATCATCAGGGCAGAGTTTTGTTTTGGTTTGTTTTTGTCTGTTTTGCTCACTGCCCTGTACGTAGAACAGTGACTGCCACAATGATGCTCAAAAAAATATTTGTTGAACTTCTATCTACCCAGAACCTACACAAGGGCCATGCATGCAGGAAGCAGATAAAAGGCTCAATATAGCTCTTCCGTGGCTTGCAAGATGTGTGTACTTTCCTTCCTCTATAGGAAACTTTCAAAGAAGTTGAAAGGACTTGAGAAAACTTGTAACATGACACAACTTAGTAGAGATAATTAGGAATTCTTATGTAAGATATAGGAAGTCACCTAAGAATAAAACATAAAGGTATCAAACCAGTTTTACAAAACTGATGAAGGGTAGAACAAGACTCATAGGAGGAAAATATTAAATTTGTTCAGCAGAGTTAGAGAAAAATTATACATCTTTTCTCCAAAGAGGGTCAATCTTGACATCTTGTAGAATCCCATGCAGTCTTTACATCATTGAAGGGAAATGAAAATTTCTCAGGTTCTAGTCATTTCGAAATATCATGTTACTGGCACCAGAAATGAAGAAATGTGGGTGGGCACCATGTCAGGAAGAGGACAGACTAGGAATCCCTCGACCCCTCCTTCTTCCATGGAGGCAGGGATTTAACAACAAACTGAACAAATGCTTCTGCGACAAGTCCAAAAACAAGCTGAAACATTCCTGCGTCTTAAGCCAACTAAGTGTGAAGCCAACTATATTTAGGCCCAGAAGGAAAATTTGCGACAGTCTCCACTCTCCTGCCAGAGGCTTTCCCCCACCAAACATGGTTGGTGCAACTGTAATGAACCCCTAGCCTCCCATCTTCTCCCTGGAGGAGGAAAGGAGTAGAATTTCTGTCCAACATTGTAACTTGTAGGGGGCCGCCTGAGGGACCAGTGTATCTAAGTACTGACTGTTTCCAAGTATTGATCTGAGAGGTTTGCCAGTTGGAGGGTCTCAGAACAAAGACAATAAACCACGCACCAGAGTCTTCAGTACCCCAGAAAGACACCAGGTGGCGTGCCAGTATTGTGACTTACTACACACCACAGAGGCGACAGTATCTCAGACACCAGTAGAAACTAACAAACCTCTTCAAATAACCGAGAGGACATACAACTGGAAACAGCTTTGAGAGGTCTCCAGAAGCTCTAGTGAAAGTCATTTTTGTACAGAATCAGACTACAAAGTCTGAGAGAGTTGGCTGATTCCCGAAATGGAAAATTCCAACAAAAATATAAGACATTAAAGAAACAGGAAGCCATAATAAATGTAAGGGAACAAGTTACATCTCCTTATAGTTTCTGATTTATAGAATGTATCTCTTTTTGTTTCCTAGCAGAGTTATAAGTTGTGTTTAATGCCTGTGATGTAATAACTTATAAGTAATATATATTTGGTCATTCAGATGACCAAATACATATTTCTCATGTATATTTGGTCTTCATGCACAGTTCCTGAAAATGCTTCAGAACTGTAAAGGTGAAATGGGTGTATTGTTATGTTAATGAGGAGACTTTTGGACCCCACCCAAGGGCAGGGACTGCTTGCAGGGGAATCACCTAGGTGAACAGAGGGTGGGAACTTTCAGACTCCCAGTCCCTAACCTCTGGTTGGGGGGGAGCACAGGGGCAGGAAGTTGAATCAGCCAGTGGCCAATGGCTTAGTGCATCATGACTATGCATTGAAGCCCTCACAAAAGCCCATGAGAAGAGTATTCTCTCCCTTTCTGCATTATGCTTCCACATCCTAGAGAGCTTCGAAGCGTGGCACTGAGCCAGGCCCCACGCTCTAGGACAGAAGCTCCTTGATTTGGGGCCTTGCCTTATATATCTCTTCATGTGGCTATTAAATTGCACCCTTTATTAAACTGGCAAACATATATGTTTTCCTGAGTTCTGTGAGCCACTCTGGCAAATTAATCAAACCTAAGAGGGAGGTCATTGGAACCTCTAATCTGCAGCCTGTCAAAAGCACAGGTAATAGCCTCAGGCTTGTGAATGGTGTTAGAGTAGCGGGCGAGGGCAGCTTTGTGGGCTGGAGCCCTTAGCCTGGGGAGTCTGGGGCTGTTTCCAGGTAGATAGTGACAGAATTAAATTGAATTCTCAGACACCTTGCTGGTGTTCTAGAATTGCTTGGTGTCATGGGTGGGACCCCCTCACACACTGGAATTGGGCCCAGGAACCCCAAAAAAGTACCTTTTGTATCATTTATTAAAATTGGAGGAGCAGGACTGGTTTCTGCCTTATTATTCTAGAAGGCTTCAAATTTTGTTTTTCCTTCTTTAATGAACAAATAGAAAAAAATATTAGCCTCTCAAACACAGATGCTTGACACATAATGAGTAAATAATAGATGCTTTTTGATTGTTGAATAAATTATTATTCTCCCAATTGCAATTAGAAAGCTGGTACAGAGCCAACATGCAGTGAAACCTCTCCTTTCTCAGTTTCCTCAGTTTTTAGGTAGAAATAATTATAGTAAAGTTGTTATGAGGATTAATTGAAATAATATATATACATAATTATTGGCACAGTGCTAGCCTATAGTAAGCATTAGTAAATGTCTGCTTTTATTATCACTGTGAGCTATGATCACCCAACTGTTGGCTGTAAATTCATTCACATAAAAACAGGACTTACAATCATTTAGCCAAACATATTT